TTTTTTTTGGGGGGGGGGGTTGCTGCTCATTGTTTACACTGTACATTATACCACTCGGAAAGTGCTTAGTTAAAAAAAATGCTACCTAGTTATAATACTCACTTTTTTCTTAAATATTCTTATTTAGAACCAGTTAAGCACGGGGACAAAAATGAACATTAGCATGAAATATGTGACAAAATACACATAAAAACACAAGCAAGATTATTAAATAGAGATAGACTTCTCTAATGAGAGATTTATAGTAAAAAAAAAAAAAAAGTTGCAATGTTGTATTACTTGTATATGTACATGATTAAATCAAAAACCAGAACTTTTTATTGAGATACTGAGGTTTATGTAGGCACCTCGCAGCATGTTGGAAGTGGTTCAGGAATTTTATGAAAGAGGAAGCTTGTTTATTAAGTGAAGAATGATGTGACTTTTGAAGCAGGCATAGCATGAAAGTCAGGCTACCACCTTGGAATAAATACCTACAACTCGATCGCCTGGTCACATTTCCAACTGCATTCTGACCTACTAAGTCTATAAAGGACTGTTGGTTAGATGTCAGCACCTTAGGGTCACAGGATCTGCTCCCTGAGTTCCCAAAACAGAAATCCTTGTTATAAAATGCCTTTACTAAAAGAAGTTTCAATGGGCGTGTACTGTGTTACTCCTGTGTACAAGGCCCCTGCTTAGGTCCCCAGGGCTCCTGGTGAATTGGCAAACTTGTCTGTGATAGAGAAACCTCATCACCATGTCCGGGTGAGGGCCACACTGTGAGGTTAAAATTAGAGAGCTACCCCAGGGCAAACCTAGCCTGGACAGACAGGCAGGGAAGCAGTGCTGTAGTTATATGTATCAAAGTTTCATTTAATGATTGATGACATGCCCTTTCCCAGATAACAGCAATAGGTCAAGGCAAACAGATCTGGCAGTTCTGGAAGATTAAAAGGCTTCGGATTTCATGTGCTTAGAAATTGCTAAAGGGATAAAAATTATTCCCTAAGAGATAAACACCTCAGTATCTGTCATTACTTAAGATTAAAGAGAGTCCCAAAGAAAAGATCAATGCCATCATTATTTTTCTCTATTCTCTTATTTCTAACAAAGGGAAAGTAAGGAAAGCTCAAAGCTTCTCTCTTATCGTGAAGTCAGCGCTTAACTATGTCTCATTTGGATGGAGCCCACAAATCAGGGCATTTGCCGTCTTTTCGGAAGCTCTCAGTGTTGTCATATATAAGCTCTCTTCTTAGAGTTGTTAACCTCTTTGAAGATAAGTAGTAACACAATAGTTTGCTCTTGTACACATCATTCACATTTTATTCAAAGTTTTGACATGGTAACTATCTCATCAGCAGGAATGTATTACTCCAGCTTCCTCCTAAGCACACTGTGTGACAATTTGAAATAGTTTGGGACCAAATAATCATAAGGTTAGAAAAACACGAGTTAAGCTAATTTGGGTCGCCTGAGTTCCACTTAACTGGATTTATTGCAAAAGAGTACCAAAGTTCATGAATTTGCCATCAACATTGTTAACATGCTTTAAGTATTTCCAGCCTGTTTACTTATTAGGCAATAAAATGAGCATTCCTAGAAGTTCCTATTTTATCTTGACAAATAAGTGTTTCCATACACATGAGAAAGGCTTACCCTGGCCGGGGTGGCTCAGTTGGTTGGGCATCAGCCCATGCATGGAAGGGTCTCGGGTTCGATCCCCAGTCAGGGCTTGTATGGGAGGCAACTGATTGGTGTTTCACACATCAGTGTTCTTCTCTCTCTCCTCCTGACCTTTCCTCTTTCCTTGGATGAGGATTAAAGAAAAAGAAAAAGCTTGAGTCCACTGTGGAAATCAGTTCTAAAAGGATGACCCTGGATTTTTCACACTGCAGACAGAAAAAATAACACCTAAAGTTAGCACCCGAAAACATCATTAACTTGGGGTGCATTCATTTAACTTGCCCTTTGCTGGATCTAAGACCCTGTACCATAAGAATGATAGAGCGGTGAGCAACTTCATTAAATGTGACTTCATGTTCAACACACTCGGGTACTTCATGTTCATTGGTGAGACATGGATTAGTTCATCATCTGGATGCCTGGAAGAGAGTGACCTTAAAATGAGTAGTGTTCAAAGTTTTATTCTGTAAGTAGGGACTTTGGTAAGGGAAAGTGTATTTCAAATACGGTCCAAGCCGATAGTCTCTGAAGGGCTAAACCAGCTGAGATTACTAGCCAGTGTTGTCTATCTTATATATTCTGATTTCCTGCCAAATGGCATTTAGGAACCACTGATAATTTAATTTCATGGCATTTACTGTTACTGGAGATTCGTTTGGTTTCTCTATTTAGCTCTTAGCAAGAGTAAATCTTTGTTGAGTGCACAATTTCAATATGGAAAAGCCAGTAAGACAAAGATTTTATGTGACATGTGAAGGACCAACAAGAATGAATTAGGGGAGAGATTCTCAACATGATATCACTGTGACAGGCACATTTTTCTATATACAGAGGCTCAAGGCAGTTTCCAAGCTTCCTTATGTAAACTGCCCCTGGTTTCTCTGTGTCTCTGCTTTTCATTTCTAACCCAATTGTGTAAGAGAACATCCTGCTCTTCTTTTGGGGGAAAAGTGCTATTAAGAATGGTCTCTGGTGTCGATAAATCTCTGCTGAGAAGTCAAGCAAATATCTTTGCCCAAGAATGTTACCTGCTTGCTTCAGTCATCAGCTCTGTGGAGATGAGGGGTCTGCCTGTGAGCCAGCACAAGCTGGAGCTAGGCTGGCTCACAACATAAAGCCTGTCAGTGGTCTGATGCCCTCTTTAGGGGGGCTGGCCTTAGAAACTGACCCAGTTCTCAGTGACAGTTCACCAGCCTTCACTGAGGCAGGGTCTGAGACACTGGGTGCGGTTTCCTTAGCTCACACTCTGCTATTTGGTTGCCTATGGCAACAAGATCCAAACAACTTGGACATGTGTTTGTATAAAAAAAAAAAAAAAACTGGGAATGGGACCCAAAGAGGGAGTTTGGGGCTGTTCAGTTAGTAGAAGAGCTGCGGTGAGTACTGGGCAACTGCTCATTGCTTTTCTCTCCTTTCTTTCTAAATTATGCTGGGGATGTCTGCTAGCACGGTAACCATGTTTGTGGGCAGTTGGCAAAAGTAGTCTCCATTCTCATGTTTCTTAAGCAAATGAAATAATTGCTCTTTATTTGCCCATGTAAGTTTCTTTTTCAGGGAGAGAGAAACAAATTAGCATATGTTGAAGAAGTTGGGAGCTCATAGATACTCACATTTGGTACCTTTTCGGTGACAGGATTAACAGAATACCTTAGCAGTGCTTGTAATTGCAGGTGGGTGGTCTAGGGTCGGAGATGGGTGGGCAGGGGTCAGGAAGGGGGCAAGGGACTTGTTCATATGAAGGCAGTGGAGGAGGTTCTTAGAATCATCATTTTAGCACTTTTTATAAGTTACTCCCCCCCAGACTTTACTTTGAAATTGCGATTTCTCAAACAGCAAATGTCCTAAATAGTAACACTTCATTGACTATATCTATTCTCACTTGCTTGAACAAAGGGGGGGGGGTTAATTTTGGACTGCCATAAAACTGCACATTACTATAACAAATAATTGACAGTTGTAAAACCTGCCAGTACCAATTGAGAATGCTACTCTAATAAATCCTCTCTTTACTGACTCAAAGCCAGTAAACTTACCTTGGACAAAATTCCTTAGGATCCATTCAGGGATGTAAAATTGTTCTGTCAGGTTTAAAGTAAATGCAGACGTTTTAAGCAAATTAATAAGGACTGCTTGTGTGCCCAGTGTTTAGAGTTAGCAGTGAATCTTTGTGTTCAGATAAACTGAAGTTTACAGTCAGGAGGAAAGCGAGGCTTCCAGAGGATGCTGTTTCCCCCTCTAAGAAGTTATGGAGTAGGAGCTGGGAGCTGGCAGGGAGGTTTCTGGCTCACTGTCTAGAACATAGCTCTTAAAGCAGAGGGTCTGGGCATCTCCCTCCTCTGCAAGCCAGCTGAGCCAGCCAGCCTGAGAACATCCTGAGCATCCCCCGCCCGCAGAAGCTGCTGCATGCAAACTGTGCCCGAAGCTAAGTGTCCTTCTGTGTAAAACAACTCCTTCTGTCTTGCCTGCTTCCTCACACCCCTGCACTCGTTCACATCACTGCTCAGAGCCACTTCGATGTCCAGAACCCCTGGCAGGCCGACACATCTCTGATCCTCTTGTCCCCCTCAGTGTCCTGTGAAGCAGCACAGCAGGATATCCCAGCAGGGTTTCTCCCAAGTCCCCAGGGACTTCCCTGGCCCCTGGGGAGCTACCCTCAAGGGCTCTTTCTTGCCAGGAGTCTTAGTGAAGTATGTGTTGCGTCGGTGCCTGCAGGCCCCATGCGGCCTTGTGCAGCTGTCTCCTGGAAGCCTCCGTGGTACAGCAGCTAGTTTTTCCATTGGTCATTTGTTCTGCCTCTTGCCCCCATAGGTCCCTCCAGGTACAAAGTGGGCACCATGGCTGAGAAGTTTGACTGCCACTACTGCAGGGACCCCCTGCAGGGGAAGAAGTACGTGGAGAAGGACGGCCACCACTGCTGCCTGAAGTGCTTCGACAAGTTCTGCGCCAACACCTGTGTGGAGTGCCGCAAGCCCATTGGAGCAGACTCCAAGGTAACGCGGTCCTCACGTGGGGAAGGGACAGGTTGGTTGTCCAGCGGCCAAGACAACAAAAGCCCACCCTTTCCCAAGTTCTCCTCATCACTGCAGCCACCCATGTGGAAGGCAGGACAGGCAGGGGCATGGACACAAGGAAACAGGCACTCGCCCAGGAGCCAGCAACCCTTGTTTCTAGTGCTCATTCCCTTGACAGTGTCCTGAGCTGTCTGTGTGTGAGTTGTAACAGCTGGTGCCAAGGCCCATACCAGCTCTGGTGGTTGTATTCTTTCTTTTGTTTCAGGAACTGTAAGTCTTCCATTCTCACCTCAGTGTCCTCCATGTTACTCACTAGAGCATTCAGCTCAGGGCACCCCCAGGTATAAGGGGCGGTGTCATCTCACCAGCCCCAGGTCACTGACAGCAGCCCACCCCCTTCTGCTTGGTTTCCAGGAGGTACATTATAAGAACCGCTACTGGCATGACACCTGCTTCCGCTGCGCCAAGTGCCTGCACCCCTTGGCCAATGAAACTTTCATGTCCAAGGACAACAAGATCCTGTGCAACAAGTGCACCACACGGGAGGACTCCCCCAAGTGCAAGGGTTGCTTCAAGCCCATTGTGGCAGGTACTGCCCACACTCACCCCCCGGGGTGGCCAGGGAGGAGGCCTGTGGGCAGAGAGGATGTGGGGTGGTTTGGGACGATGGGGCTAATGCTGCTGGGAGCTGCTCTTAGCTTTTGGCATATATTTGCACGCATATATATATACACGTATACATGCGTACACATATATGCTCGCACACACGCACACATTTGGAAACTAAAGACCACTGGAGACAACTGTCTGTGGCAAGAGAAGGAAGTGAAAAGTATGTAGCACTTTCTCATTTGAGTAGAGTAAGTGATCGACGCATGCTTCCTCCTTAGGGTGTAGCTCGGGCTCAGCCAGTCCCCTACGGAATCTCTTAAGTCCACAAAGGGCGTGGGAGTGGGGACTCAGGTGTCTCCTCCTCAAACACTACAGCTGGGGTCCCCTCCCTGACGGATCTGGGTTGGCACACCTACAAGTAGGCCATTGTCGAGAACCCCCCATGGGTAGGTTCCTTGGAAGTGTGAGGCCAGTCGCTGCAGGGCCTGCATTCTCCCACCTCTGGAGGGCCCAGGGTGGGAGCTGAGTGGATGCAGCCCCCTGCAGAGCACTATCAGTGGGGCTATCCAATCGCTTCCCCCGCCCTTGCAGGAGATCAAAACGTGGAATACAAGGGAACCGTCTGGCACAAAGACTGCTTCACCTGCAGCAACTGCAAGCAAGTCATCGGGTCTGGAAGCTTCTTCCCTAAAGGGGAGGACTTCTACTGCGTGACTTGCCACGAGTCCAAATTTGCCAAGCATTGCGTCAAGTGCAACAAGGTACGTTGTCAAGGGAGTTCTGCGTGGAGTGTTGTTTCTAGAAGCGTTGGACAGTTGGCAGAGCACTTGCACACACACTATCCCATTCCATCCCCACGACGGCCCCGTGACGTGGGAATTATTATGCTCATTTTACAGATGAGGAGACTGGTAGTAGAAAGAAGTGTCCGGGCCAACTCAGGCTGCCCGAAAGGTGCTCACCCTGGAGGCACAGGCAGCCCCGGCTCTAGAGGCCTGCCTCCACCACCTAGTTGCTGTGTAATGTTGCACAGGGGCTTGCCTTCTCTGAGCCTCAGTACCTTCATCTGTAACTTGGGGATAATAATAGCACCTGCCTCCCATGGCCGTTGTGGCGATTAAATGAGATATTGTAGACCAAAGCGCCCAGCACAGTGCCTGGCACGTAGTAGGCATTCAACAAAATGGTTGTTGAATCTGAATTCGGTGCTACACTCCCTGGTCTAGGCCATCACATCTGGAGGAATCACTTACCAGGATCAGCCCTGGCATGGCGAGTGCTTTGTGTGTGTTACCTGCTCTAAGAAGCTGGCTGGGCAGCGTTTCACCGCTGTGGAGGACCAGTATTACTGCGTGGATTGCTACAAGAACTTTGTGGCCAAGAAGTGTGCTGGATGCAAGAACCCCATCACTGGTAGGCTAAAGAGTCCTTGCTAAGTTGGCCAGGCTAGGTTTTGCGCATGGTAACCATCTCTCATTTTCCTACGTCGGTGTCATCCACAAAGGACCCAGAGAATGCCCCCTCTCCTTGCTATTGTGGTCCTGAAGGCCCCCAAATAGTGTTGAATTCTCCCGCAGGCCAGGTTAGCCTTTGCAATACAGAACACTTCCTGACTGCTGCTGACTAATGATCTGTGCTGCGGAGTTCATGAGCCTGAGACCCACGCCATGGGCAGGCAC